TCTTAGTACGCGAGCCTAGAGGGCCCTCTAGTGGCTGTCAGTGTTAAAATAATAAACATGTAAATTTTCAGTGGTGCAGGAGTAGCAGATACTAGTACACGAGCCTAGAGTGCCCTCTAGTGGCTGTCAGTGTTAAAATAATAAACATGTAAATTTTCAGTGGTACAGGAGTAGCAGATACTGGTACACGAGCCTAGAGTGCCCTCTAGCGGCTGTCAGTTTGAAAATAACAATATGTCACACCTGAGTAAAAGTAAGTCGCAAACTTAGCTAAAGGATAAAAAAAGTGCGACTTACAGGAGGAGTATCAAATACTGGTACACAAGCCTACACACTAGAGTCAGTATAAAAATAACAAACGTAAATTGACATATATTAATATATAAGTCGCACCTGAGTATAAGTCGCACTAGCCAAAGGATGGAAAAAAGTACGAAAAATCTACAGTAGAGTCAGTCGCACTAGCCAAAGGATGGAAAAAAAGTACGAAAAATCTACAGTAGTCGCAGGTACTGCTACACAAACCTAGAGTGCAGCTGTCAGTATAAAAATAATATACGTGAAATAATATAATATTTTAATGCATAGGTTGCACCTCAGTATAAGTTGCAAACCCAGCCAAAGGATACTCAAATGTAAAAAAGTGTAACTTATAGTCCGGAAAAATACTGTAATCAAACGCGTGGCAGTAGAGGAGACTGTGGTCACAAAGGAGAGCCTGGAGGTAAAGGAACCCCAGGAGAACCTGTGAGTACATTTTTTTTTTACGAGTGGGGATTACATTTTTCTGCTTCAAATGTTCTATTAACTTCAATTGTTAGGTCCATGTAATGATTTTGTTTTTTTATCAGGGAGAGCCAGGACCTCATGGGGAACCTGGCCTCAGAGGTACAAGAGGAGAGTTGGGCCGTGACGTGAGTACTTCGCACACAAAAGACTGAGTTGACTGACTCGGCTTTTACTCACAGACGACATAAGACTACAGATTTCGCTTAAATTCCACTTGACTATTTTTTGTTTTTTTTTCCATTCATTTAATTCTCCAACCTCGCTTAAAGGGAGATCCTGGACCTGAGGGAGATCCTGGCCTGACTGTAAGAGTGTTTAACCACAAAATTGACCACAATCTGTGATGTTTAAAATGAAACGTGTAATATGATTTTTGTCCTTGAAGGAATGTGATGTCATGAACTACATCAGGGAGACTTGCGGTTGCTGCGGTGAGTTTTATGCCTAATGACGTTTGCGGTTTATGATTCAAACCATACACTCAGAAGAACCGTCAGTTTACACAGCTCCTGTGCAATGACGTTTGCGGTTTATGATTCAAACACACACTCACAACTGAAGAACTGTCAGTTCACTCAGCTCCTGTGTGCGTCTGCAGACTGCGAGAAACGCTGCGGAGCCTTGGACATTGTGTTCGTGATTGACAGTTCCGAGTCCGTGGGATTGACCAATTTCACCCTGGAGAAGAACTTTGTCATTAATACCATCAACAGACTGGGCTCCTTCTCCAAAGATCCGGAGTCAGAGTCAGGTAAATGAGCAGACGTCGTTGTATAAAGGCATAATGTTTGGGATGGTCACTTTCAGCTAAAAAGTGAAATAAAAAAAAAAGCCATTGGAAAATATACAAATATATAAAGTCATTTAAATATATTTCAAGACTGTCGATCGATTTAATCAGATTAATCCCAGGGTCCCAAGATAGATCAACATTGTTATATATGTTAAAACAGGTTATATATTACCGGGACAGAAGGTTGTTTATTTTAAATGATACATTAAATAATTCCTGATGTGCACGTGTTAAGATAAAATATAAATCTAAAATATATTTACAGGTTCTAAATTAAGCCGGAAATTGCGTACGTTAACAAAAGTTTTGTGATAGAGCTAAAGTTTATCCACAAAAAAACAACATACGACTTAGATATGACTTAGAACATATGACTAGAGAGAGCTTAGCATAGAGCTAAATTTTTTTTAAAAATTTTAAATCGCATTTTTTCTCTCCTTTGGCAGGATTTGCGACTTATACTCAGGTGTGACTTATATATTAAAATAATAATTTCACTTTTGTGATTTCTTTTACACTGACAGCCACTAGAGGGCGCTCCAGCTGGCTGTTATGACTTAAACTCCGGCGCAACTTATAGTCCATAAAATGTTTAGGTATTTTAGAATTTAGTTAATTTATGTAGTTTTTTTTTTGAAGTTTTCTTTGCTTATGTTTGCCCTAATGTCGTCTTTTTACTTTTCAGGTGTAAAACTCACCAAATCATCAAAATTTTCACCGAATATTGTCACGTTTTTCTTTTATGTTCGTTTGTGTTCAAGGTACCAGAGTAGGGGTTGTCCAGTACAGTCACAACGGAACCTTCCAGGCCATCAGACTCAATGATCCTAAGATTGACTCATTGACCGCTTTCAAGGTGTGAAATACACAACCAATCACACAAACCTTTTTCTGTTTCATCCAAATGTTAAAATAAATTTACGAAACCATTACACATGGCCAGATAGTAAGGTAATTTAAAACTAGCTAGGGTTGTCCTGATGCCATTTCTTTACAAACCGCTATGAATATTTTCATGTTTGTACTTGCATAGCATGAGAGCTTTGCTGAACTCTTTGTTGGATTATATCAGTGGTTCTTAATTATTTTATTATTATTTTCTGTCACGTCCTCCCCCCAACCCACACCTTTGCAAATTGAAATACTATGATAACATATGTATTTTTTATCTGTACAAACCACCGTATGAGTTGCTGCCACCTAGTGACTGGAGGCTTGTTATTCAATCGTTACAGCAGTGGTACACTTATGTCCAGCGTGCCATGTTTCACTGGAACTCTATTGCGCCCCCCGGCGGGGCCCGCCCCACTACTTGAGAGTCACTTGGCTTATTCAGCTTTAAATGGATGTTCGCGAGATCCATTGAGCAGTTTAGCTGAGGTTGTTGACTATAAGTCGCACTAGCCAAAAAAATGAAGATGATAGAAGAAGAGGAACAAAATATAAATAAGTCACCGTAGAGCGTAAGCAAACACCAGTAAAACAAAAAAACAATTCTTTACGCTTAAGGATGCGGTGAAGCGTTTGGAGTGGATCGCCGGAGGAACGTGGACTCCCTCAGCCCTGAAATATGCCTACGATCACCTGATCAGGGACAGCCGCAGAGCAAAGGCCAATGTCACCGTTGTCGTCATCACCGACGGACGCTTTGACCCCAGAGACGATGACTCGCTTCTCACCTACCTCTGCAGGTACGTGGTTCGACGGAACGATTTAGAATTTGTAAGTTGTGCAGGAAGCGCGATTCTTATCTCAGTGGTTTCATGTTTGTTTCGTGGGCGTGCTTGCGAAAAGTGATCCGAGTGTCGACGTGAGTGCCATCGGTATCGGAGACATGTTCGACCAGATCGAGGAGAACGAGAGTCTGAAGAGCATCGCCTGTCAAAGGGACGGCAGGGTCCTGGGAATGAGGCGCTTTGCCGACCTAGTGGCTGAGGAATTTATCGACAAGATCGAGACTGTGCTCTGCCCTGGTACGAATATTTACAGAAATCCATATTTAGCTGTTTTAAGATGAAATATACCATTGTCTGATCAGCTCTATCTCTATTTTTTTAGAGCCTGTCATTATTTGCCCCGATCTGCCTTGTAAATCAGGTAAGATGTAAAAAGAAATAGCCGTCACACATCTCGGCATCTGTTTATGTCTTCTTAATGTTTAGGGTTCGTTTTCTAAATAGAGCATCTTAAGGTGTCAGGGCCCTTAACCCTTTCATGCATGACGGTCACTACAATGGACAGCTATGAAAATGTCATTTTCTATGATCAGAATAGGTTTCGATGGCAGTGTTGCATATAAGCCTCTACAGTGGACACCTGAGAACCACCCAACACTGCCATACAGTGGTCAGCCTTTGCAACTGCAGAGTAATTGTGTCAACATTCAAAAAGAAAATTTGGTGTATAAAAACAGAACCAAATCAGTTTTTATTTTTATGTCTAAAAACACATAAAAACCCTTAGTAACATTTTCTTTAAACTCAGTATATCATGGGTCATGCATCAAAGGGTTAAACAAGAGCAGGATATTGATTTTTTTAAGGGAACATCTGAGCCAAGTTAGATAGAATTAGTGAAGATTTTTTTATCATTCTCTGGGTATTTTAAATCACGTCCAGGCTGTTCCAGTCTATTTTCACAATTACAGTTAGTCATGTCAAGGTACGGTTGCTTTGAATGTTTACGTAAGATTTGGTGTCGTAACTGGGCCTATTTTACAAAAACAGGTTTCGTTGGTAATTAATGTATATACACCGATCTATGGTAGACACTTAGTGGAGAAACAGCGAAAGGTAAAACAGCAGAGACAGGTCCAAAAAACTAGCACAACACACATTACAACTTGTTTTTAAATCTCATAAATTTTGACTAAAATCATATAACAATTTTCTTCTGATAATCTGGTGGCTTTAATCTGAGCAGAGACAGGTCCAAAAAACTAGCACGACACACATTACATCATATACTTACGTACAACCCCAAAAATAGCAACATTTTAAGTACAAACTACCACTTGTTTTTAAATATCATAAATTTAGACTAAAATCATATAGCATTTTTTTCCCCGATAATCTGGTGGCTTTAATCTTCGACATTCAATTTACCAAGTTAAAACAACCGTATGGTAAAACAAACAAACAAACAAACAAAACAAAAACCCCAACAACTTTTCTTCATCTTTGATCAACAACACAAGACCAAACGCTCCTCGCGGTGCAAATTGGTGTACTTTCAGAGCCTTGTTTATCCAAACAAGTCGTTTTCTGTGGGATTCTGCCCACAATGTTGTTCCACCCACTCGTTGCAGATGGGGGCACCACATTCTGCCCCTGGAAACCAGTGCCTGAAGAATGCAGCCCTTCATTGGTTCCCACCTCATTGGAAGGTGTGTCCAACCTGCTGAGCAGCCTGAGTGAGCATCAATATGGGGCTGGAGTGGCAACCATGGCTTACACGGCCCAGAGAGCCAAACTGGCCCAGGGAGTGGACAGGCAGCAGTGGACCCAGCTCTTCATTGACTCCTTCAAATATGTCTACGCAGGCATTATTGAAGATCCTAAGAAGGCCTTAGGCCTCTGCTAATACGGATGTCATCTAATCATGCTACTTCCCTAGTACCCAGCCAGCCATGTGGAACTGGCCAAATCTATGTGGGCCACAATGGTTCATCAATTCCATCTCTGTGAAAGCGCTTAGTCATTAGGCTCATAGTGTAGAAAGATTTTCGCTATTTACCGTAATTAATAATTAATGAGTGCACCTTAATATCAGCATAAAACAAATTGTACATTGTAACATGGGAGATTTACACAGAAGGATTTTTTTATTTAATTTTAATTGAATAAATGCTTTTTTCCCCCCCCCCGAACAGTGCCTGTAACATGGCGGGTTACACGTTAGCTCTTTCCCGCTTCAGCGCCCTGACCATAGCTGGAATGCGTAGGGAAGACTTAGTGATCTGCTACAGGGACGAAGCTAACGTTAGCTCCAGAGCTAACTCCCTTGACTTTGTGCTTGTCCGCAGCAGAGGTAAACAGAAACCCGGGAAGTTTCCGGAAGTTTATTATCAGCCACATCGGGCACAACAGAACATAAACAGCGTGTTTTTTAACAGCTCCTGTTTAACCAACTCACGCTTCAACATGACAGCGCTCAAACTGTTTCAACTCATCGCTACCGTTCTCTCTCGCGCGGGCCCCACGCACATATACGCACACAGCCATTCACAGACAGACATACGCTACTAGTATAACAAACAGTAGCCTACCAGAAACGTCATTGGTCGCTAGCTGTATACACTTTGTTAGCCCGTAGAAATCCATAAATTAGCCGCACCGTTGTTAAAGCCGCAGGATTCAAAGCGTGTGGAAAAACGTAGCGGCTTATAGACCGGAAGTTACGGTTAATCAGGCACGTGATTAACAGCGGGTTTGTTCAGTTGGAGGCTGACCACTGTCAGTGATGCTCATTCACACTTTTATTCATACATATTCCAATTTAAAATGAACAACACGAGTATTTAATCAATTTATTGATGCATATTGTTTTACAATTACAATAATTTACAATATATGTAATTATAATAATACAATAATTTACAATAATAACAACAACAACAACAATAATAATAATTATTATTATTATTTATAAATTATTATAAATAATAATTTATAATAATATAATAATTTACAGCATTGGACAATATGCCGCGTTATGTTTAATTCATTTATTTCATCCAACCGCAATGGCCCCGTGCCCCCTTTAGGGAACGCGCCCTCCATTTTGGTAACCCATGTATTAGGTAATCCAGCTGTTGATCACACTAGAATGTTTTACCTCTCAATTTTTGTATTATCTAGTATTATGTCACTTTGGGCCTAATTTGCATTCCCATAGGTGTTGTGTTCAAATGCTGGCTGGGTATTAGGCTTTAAGCTGTATGTACAATTTGTTTGTAAACTGTGGGCATTTGACTTCGATGATAAATATATGAAATATTGTATTAAATTGGCACGATATGCAGGCTAGTTTCTGTATGAATTCCAAAAAATGTGGACTTCTGGAATCCTTCCATTGCTTTGATACATATCATTTTTTTTGTCCCACATTCGTGGAACAATCTATGTTTTTACCTGGAAACTGGAAACTGGATAGTGGATACTGTCAATTGGTTGGAGACATTACAGTGTCTCTTCTATTGAAACCTCATTTTCGCTGTGAATCCTGACTTTTTTTTGAGTCAATCGAACCCACCTGCAATGCCTTTTGTTATTTTGCACATTTCCCTGGATACTTTTATTCCGTTTTTGTCCTGTGAATCACTCATTTGTTCCGAAACAAATGGCCATGTAGAAATATTTCTGTTGCAACGTTGTAGTAATTTTCTGTTAATAATTTAGAATTTGAAGGATTTGTTTTTGTTTGTGCTGAAGATGAAGGAACTATTCTACACAGTGCCCTTGGTTGGTGCATGATTTTTTTTTTTGCATGAGGCTTGGCTTGTAGAATAAGAAGGCAAGTGGACGATTACAGTCACAGCTAATAAAACCGCGTGTAACGGTCTCACTGTGTGTGTGCTATTCGCTGATGTAAGCAGTATTGTTTTGTACAAAATGGAATGGAATATATTCTTTAACCTTATGTTACGTCATATGGTGGCAATAAAATGGCAGCGCAAACTAAAAGTGCTTTTTTATGAGGCCGTACCTTAGGGGTATTTGGACAACATTGGACAACCGGACTGGAATTAGCATGTATAAGACTAGAGCATGTCAATTAACTTAAACATTTTCCTGGCACTGACCAATTCTATGTGGTCCAACAGTGAGTTGCGTACCGAGCCTATAAAACTAAGTGCACGTGCTTGTGTTTTTCTTGCAGAGCCGGCCGTGGCCAGCTGTGTGCAGAGGCCGGTGGACGTGGTGTTCATGTTGGATGGTTCCGAAAGGATGGGACTGGAGAACCACCGGCGGGCCAAGGAATTCATTGAGAACGTGGCCCGTCGCCTTACGCTGGCCAACGGCCCGACGGATGAGAGGAACGCCCGCCTGGCTTTGGTGCAGTACGGCAGTCCCACGGAGCAGAGAGTGGAGTTCCCGCTCACGCACAATCTCACGGTGATCTCTGATACGCTGGCAAACGTTAACTACATGGACTCTTCGTCCGCCCTGGGCAGCGCCATCATCCATGCTGTCAACAATGTGGTGATTTTACAGGTATGATGAATGTCCAATAAGACAATGTCACTGTGTTTGTTTTTTTGTTTTTTTTTTGTCTTTAGTTCCTATATCAGTACTATCTAAATGACTTTGCAGTCTAGGACGTATTTGTTGTTACACTACAGTTTTTACAATGGGCAGAACAACATTCATTTGGATAGCGCAAGGTTTAGCGCAAGGATTATTGCTAGTAATATGTATTTTCCTATTTGTACAAACCACTGTATGAGTTACTGCCACTTGTATCAGTCATCTTACCACTGTATGAGTTACTGCCACTTGTACGGCCAACCCCCCTCACCCGCCCATCTCAGAGCCACTGTCTGTACACCATCTGTATGTCTATACATCATAGCAGATCTCACCACTCTCTTAGAAATCTGACCTGACCCACCCGCTCCCTATTCCCCACCGCAGATTACAAACAACATGATCCGTGGATCACCCTTACCTTGAACCCATCAATCATTCTGACAGCACGCTCACTTATTACTACTTACTACTGTCTCCGACCTTTGCATCAGTAGTACTTTTCCTGGGCATAAAAACCAAACTGTTGCTCACTGAATTCAACCTCACTTGCCTGAACCTCACTTTCTAACTTTTAACTCTCGGACTCCAGGATTGTGATAAACGACCTCATTAAGTAAAACCAAAAACTAGTCTAAGGGTCAACTGCACTCGCTCCTAAACATTCCCATACTTCTACAGGTATATCCTCTGGACCGACAGCCTTTCTTACACTTCATCCTCCACAAAGCGCCCCCCTCACTTCTTCTTTCCTAACTCCCTGGACCTTCTGGTTAACTACATTGGCTCCTCAAAATACTTGTCAGATTGACTTAAATATTTTATTTTTTTGTTTGTAGCGGGGAGAACGCAAGGCGCGCCGCAACGCGGAGGTCGCCTTTGTGTTCATCACCGATGGCATCACCTCAACTGAGCAGCTGGAGGAGGGCGTGACCGCCATGAGGCGAGCAGAAGGCGTTCCGACAGTGATTGCCATGGGAACAGACACAGACGAGGAGGTGCTGCGAAAGGTGTCACTAGGAGACATGTCAGCCATCTTCAGAGGGGACGACTACAACATCCTGAACAAACCCTCTTTCTTTGAGCGCTTCGTCCGCTGGATATGCTAGTGACAAAACTGTAACTCTCCGTGACACAAAAATGTAAATGAAAATCCCTAGACAGAAAAGTACAGCTTTCAGCGTGAAAAAAAACAAAACAAAACACAGAGGTTCCACAGGAAATGTCTGAATTGTTATCAGGATATGTATAAAGAAAGAATCAGAGGCTCAGAAAAGGTTACTTACTTCTGAAAAAATAAAAATAAAAATTACACATTAGTAGAAAATTATCGATGTAGTTGTAGGTCGCCGAAAAAATAAAAGACATACATTTAGGAGGATCTATTAGTTAATTGTTATTTTGTTCTTAATCCATGGACAGTAACAAAGAACAAAGGCTGTTTATAAGAAATGGATGTGGCCATATGGTGAATGTGCAGGATTACGCTAAGTAAGTAGTCAGTATGCATTTTTTTTTTCAAAAAATTATGTTTTTTTTCACGGTCATCTACAGTCAGAGTTTGCTCTGAGAGAATTTAGAGGAAAATAGACCATAAAGCAGACCTGGGCAAATGTTTTGACAGGGCGGCCTTCTTTTTTAAAATATAATGTTGTACAATAAAGATCAGATTTAAGATGAAATGATTAAAACCATTCAGGAAAATCATAACTATTCAGGAAAATGATTACTTATGTTTTTTTTTTTAAAAAAAAGAAAAAACAAAAACTTCCACTGACGCTTTCTGTTACAACTGTTTTGGCTACATCTACTTCTAGTGCTTCCTTTGACAAAGACCAGCCTGAATATCCCACCACGGAGGTGTATGATTACTGAATGTGTATGAAACAAACTATATGCATTGTTTTTCTTTGTTTTTGTTTTTTTGTTGTTTTTTTTTTTTACATTGACATGATTTTCAGTTTCTCCTTTTTCCCACTTCCTTTCTCCCTCCATCATGTCTTATGTCTTGTTTGTTTTCTTCTTGTTTTCACAAAAAAAAAAACAACACTAGAGGTGCTAAAGATAAAATAAAAAAAAAAAAGTCACGTGACTGGTCCTAAACATTTGTTTGAGTTCATGTTATGCTGTTGTTAATGATTGTTGTTCAGGAGATTTTTTTTTTTTTTTTTCCCCACGTTTTCCAAGAAAAGCTAAATCACGGCTGCTCTTAAAAAGCCCCGTATTCTGTCACGCAATAAGCACACACTGTAGTTAAGAACACCAAGATAAAGAAACTCAACTGTAAACATGTCCAAATAAATAATGTGGTCACCCCAACAACGGTGTGTTTTGTGTTTGCAGGAAATTCATCTGTTTCTTGAACGTTAACGTCTTATTTTCCGGACTATAAGGCGGACTTAAGAAGCCCTTACTGACCTCGAACTGATTTTTTTTCACACATATGAAGGCAAATTACACATCGCTAACACGCATTTCATATTGGTTATATAACAATTCACCATCATGTCCATTTGTTATACAGATCCTCTAATCCATTCCAATGGCATTGCACAGTTAAACGCTGCTGATGCAATTAAATATAGTGCTTGTTAATCTTGTTTTTTTTTTTTTTTTCCCTCTCTCTCTTTGATGAAGCTTTAATCTCCATCACAGGCCTAAACCCATTCCGATCAATTACCGAGTCACAATCAGTGAAGTAATACCATTGTCTGGCACTTCACACACACACACGTCCAGCTCAAATTAATAGCCACCATCTGTCTGTGATGAGGACGGATGACCAAGGACGTCAACATGTTGGCAGGACACGTTGCGTTGCGCTACAGATGGAACCAAATCATCTGTGGGTCTGGCTGGTGCGTAATTAAAATGAAGTGATTTCTTTGCGCACAGATTGTGTTTTCAATCCTAACATTTAAAGTCGCCTGGATTCATTTATCCTCCCCACAGTCGTAGCAAATGCCTTCGGGAACAAATCCAAATTGGCACCATTTTTATCAACCACAACCACAGACCGACCAACAAGATCCACGAACTCTGTCCTGTTTTCCATGCACATGATTTCAATATTATTCATAAAGTAGCTGTGAATTATTCGCACTCGTCACGATCGTAACTTCTCATTATTAATCACATTAAGATAAATATGAACATTTCTTTGCTGGAAAAAGAAAGACAAATAACAGCAGGTAGATGTATGTGTTTCACAACAGTTCTTGTTTTTATTGGTGACTAATCCTAGTGAGAGAATTATTAACGTGGAAAAATTGTCAAGAATAATATGCATAAGTGTAACTCAAAATTTAACATCATTTTTTTGCTCGTTAAAATCAGGGGAAAAACCTCAGTGAAGCCCTCGTCCAATTAAAATCAGTCTACAGTTTCAGGTCATTCACTTGACTTACTTATACTCAGGTGCGACTTATATATTAAAATATATAATTTCACATGTTTGTTATTTTCACACTGACAGCCACTAGAGGGCACTCTAGACTTTTGTACCAGTATCTGCTACCCCTGTACCACTGAAAATTAAAATGTTCCTTATTTTCACACTGACGTCCGCTAGAGGGCACTCTAGACTTTTGTACCAGTATCTGCTACTCCTGCACCACTGGAAAATATTCTTGTTCGTTATTTTCCCACTGACAGCCACTAGAGGGCACTCAAGCTGGCTGATGCAACTTATACTTCGGAGTGACTTATTACATGTTTTTTTTTCTTCTTCATTTTGACTTTTTTTTTTGGCTGGTGTGACTTACATACTCAGGAACAGCTTTCAGTCCGGAAAATACTGTATTTTTGTAGCCATTTTATCGACTTATCTACTGCTTATGTTTCCTTTGCGTTTCGTGTAATGAAGTTGTTTTGCTTTGCAAATAACAATATTTTTCACTGAGCAAAGTGCTATATCTGTACCTACTTCTAGTAACCTGTGACTTTAAATAACAGAGGGGCGTATTTAACAATGTCGGATATCTCATTGGAAATTAGCTTAAAATGCCGCCATGTAGGTTTAGCGTATCATGAACTATGTGAAAAAAAAAATATATAATCTAAAACAGTCATTCTCAGCTCATCCTCAAAGTTCTCTCAGCTTTTTTCATCAGGCTGCTTCTGATCTCTAGACATCAATTTGACAACCCGAGAAAGATCACAAGCCGCTTTGGTCACAGTGTCATAAGATGGTGGTGAGGACATTGTGGTCTCTACACCCTCAGGCCTGTAGTGCTCTACCATGTAGGTGAAAGGCTCCTCAGTTCCGGGAGCATTCTCCACGTTCATCACAGTCGGACGGTGCACTATTTGTCGGTAGAGGTAGGACGCCTTTTTAATCTGCCGGAAAACTAAGTGCCTCCTGTAGGACCTTTGGATCACCACTGCGGACTCCTCTTCTATTTTGTGTCGGAATGTAGAGGTGATAGGCTCGTGGGAAATCTTGGAAGGGTTTGCCATCATAAACTTCTCCTCCATTTGCTGCTTAAGTGTATCCATTCCACCGAACTCTCCAAGGACACGCTTTGTGAAGGCAAACAGAATGTCCAAGCAGTGGATCCTGTTCCCGCTAACCATGGGAAGGTCCATGTAAATCAATTTGCTTATGTTGGGCTTCGCAATGCGCAGCGGCTCAGACAAAGAGTCAGCGAAGCTGGGCAGCATCGAGAACTCAATGAACTGCGTAGCCTCCGAGTCGAACTTCTCCCAGACCTTGTAGAACATTTCAAAGTCGTCCTCGCTCAGGGGCTCCGTGCTTTCCTCCGTTGCCACGCTGAAATTCTCCAGAATGATCGCTATGTACATGTTCACCACAATGAGGAAGGAAATGATGATGTAACTAACAAAGAAGGCTATGCCCACCGATGGGCTGCCACAGTTCCCCCTGGTGTTGGTGCCAACGTTGACGACGTCGACGTCGCACTCGACTGGGGAGCTGGACAATATCGGACTTAGGAGGTTGTCCCAGCCTGCAGACGTGCTGATTTGAAAGAGACAGATCATGCTATTTCCGAAGGTCTCAAAGTTGAACATGTCGTCGATACCGTCCTGCTTTTTCACGTAAGCAAAGTTGGCCATTCCAAATATGGCATAAATGAACATGACAAGAAAAAGTAGGAGGCCGATGTTAAACAGCGCCGGCATTGACATCATTAAGGCAAAGAGCAAAGTTCGAATTCCTTTGGCTGCACGTATGAGTCGAAGGAGGCGCCCAATCCGGGCCAGTCTAATGACTCGAAACAGGGTCGGCGACACAAAGTACTTCTCAATGATATCGGCGAGAACAATGCCTGAAATATAGAAAAACAGACAAACATAGATTTGTCGTCTTTAAAAAAAAAGAATCTACACAGGCTCATTTTCATACCTAGTATTTAGGGGAATCAGAATCTGGCCTTTTTGTGACAACTTTTGTAAAATGTAGACACTTGGTCCTCACTTAACGACATATCTTTCTTAACAATGACTACAAGTTACGACGGGCTTTCCGAAATTTTACAATTTTACAAAGATTACAATTGTTTTTTTCTTCTGGATCTGCTTTAAGAAGTACATTTTTTCACTGTATCCCACTCCAAATGTCCTTGGGACCGTCACCGGTCCCTGGACCAGGGGTTGGAGACCCCTGCTGTACATGATATAATCCAAAAGTAAAGTAAGAGGAAAAGTACAATAGTACAGTATAAATGGTCACAATGTATGCAAATATAAACATTGTTTCACTGCACAAAATGTCTACAAAGTTGTTGGAAAACGGCGTGCCGTTTGACGACAAAATCGTTAAACGTCGTCAGAACCGAACTCCATTGTTAAGTGGAGGACCAACTTGTATTTACTGTAAAACTTTATAAGGCTGTAATGAGAGAATTTGATGATACGTTATACTTCTGCCTTTTCCCTGCATCGAAAATGATTTTAGCATTTTAGCCTTTTTGATCCAACTGAAAACTACTTTCTGCAGAGTCTGAGTCGTACGGCCTTAAGGTCATCTTCAAAGACAAAAAACCCAAATAATGTTTTTTTTTCTAATTCTAAACCCCTCTAAAGCCACAAAGACACAACACAGAAAAAAAACCCAATCAGTCTTATTTCACAATTTTCTGCGATTGTGAAATAAGTGAGGCGTCATCTCTTACCCACTATAGAGAGGATTATCACCACAAAATCAAAAATGTTCCACGCAGCGGTGAAGAAGTAGCAGCGTAGGGCAAGGAGCTTGATCACGCACTCCGTGGTGAAGATAGTAATGAAGCCCAGGTTGATTTTGTCAAGGATGGACTTGGTGTGTCCGGACTGCTCATCTGTTTCAACCATCATGGTTACCATGTTGATGATGATGAGCACCATGATTAGGATGTCGAAGGTTTGTTTCGACACTAAATCGAACAAGAAGGCTTGAATAATGTTCTAGATTCCAAAAGAAAAATACAACAACAACAAAAAAAAGAGTCAGTTGTATTAACTGCACTACCTACATAACAATATTATGTTAATTTTGAGAAATGTCTTGAAGCAGGGGTGTCACTGTGGTTCAAGGGAACCTGTAGTTATTAAAAAGTCCGTGTTTTTCCCCTTATGTATTCATGTAAGTTTAAGTATATTAGAAAATATTCATATTTAATGAAATATCATTTTACAAAACGAATTCCTAACAATGAAGTGTTTGTGTATTTATTTATTCATTTTTTTAATTCAACAAGCGGGCCGGTGGTGGCTTGTGTATCTGTATGTATCTATATGTATATATGTATATCTATCTATCTATCTATCTATCTATCTATCTATCTATCTATCTATCTATCTATCTATCTATCTATCTAGCTAGCTATCTAGCTATCTAGCTATCTATGTGTGTGTTTGACACCCCTGCCTTAAGGCTAAAACAATTTAGGATTTTTTTTAACCCTAGGTCTGGGAATTGGCTTTTGAGGTTTTTTTGATCCTAATTTCTTCAACGCGTTGTAGTATTTCTTCTGCTCGGCAGTCATGAAGATGTCCTGTCCTCCTAAGTGATGGCAAAAAAAAAAAAAAAAAATGAACTCGCAATTATATTTAGATAACTCATTTGATCAAATACATTCATATTCTTGATATTGTTTCGTTCATGGAAAAGAAGACGACCAATTTGGTATTCTGAGTACTCATCTTTCTTTTCTGCTGATTAAAATTGTCAATGATGACCCCTATGAAAAGGTTGAGGGTGAAGAAGGAGCCAAATATGATGAAGATGACAAAGTACAGGTACATGTAGAGGTTGATTTCTCGGACAGGCTGGTCCTCCACCTGGTGGTGGAAAGTGTTTTTATAGTCTTTGCTGTAACACAGTTCTAATGAGAAGTCAACTTTTTTTGAATACAAACATACTTACCCCTCTAGAATCAACCGCAGCCTGCATGATCTCCAACCATCCTTTGAAGGTAGCCTACAGAACAACAGTACACAATTGAGGGACTGAGCTTTTGAAAAAATTGGAATGATCCCATATTTATGAAACTTGTGCGGCAGCTGTCGAGCATGTGGTTCGTCTGGGAATTGAACCCGGGACTCTCTGCACTCTGCTTCAGAGCCAGGTGTGCTAACAGCTACATTATGGAACCGACAAAATGTACGCCACCCCAGATGGGACTTGAACCCATAAACCCTAGCTTAGGAGGGCAGTGACTTAGCCATTAGGCCACTGGAGCACGCCGGAGTCAATATCATATTTAAATAAGTAATATAGACGCATGTGGATGTCTGCTACTGTTTACATGAAAAGGGATCTAAATTTAAATGATGATCTAAGCCTGGTGTGGGCAAAGTTGGTGTCGGGCTGGATTAAAAGGCTGAACGTAAGCCTTTGCCCATGCCTGATCGAAGTAAATCTCTGGAAACGTTTTGCATAAAACTTGTATATATGTGTGTATATATACGGTATACTGTGTATATGTATATACTGTATATATATATATAATTGTTAACAATGATAATTGAAATATAATAAATAATAATTGACAATAATTACCTACTAACCTACTTATACAACTAACACTAATCTATCTATCTACCTCTACTAACCTACTTATGTACTTCTATCTATCTATCTATCTATCTATCTATCTATCTATCTATCTATCTATCTATCTATCTATCTATCTATCTATCTATCTATCTATCTATCTATCTATCCATCCATCCATCATCCATCCATCCATCCATCCATCCATCCATCCATCTATCCATCTATCCATCTATCTATCTATCTAGAGAGCGAGAGAGGGAGGGGATGGATAGACAGATAGACACTCCTAAAGAGGCCAAAGAGTGCCAAAAAAACACAAAACAACGTAATGCTTGTTTAAAGAATTCAGGGGGAAAACATAGAAATGTCCCATAACGAAAGGTTAAGGAGAAATATACGTACTGTATGGCACAAATGAAGTTGATTAGCCACACAATGAAGGTATGGTAAAGAGTTGAGGTTAAGATTGGTGAGCAGCAGTTTGGTCTGATGTCCAGAAAAAGTGCCACTTATTCTTGCTGGTAGAAAAGTGGATGGAGAAAATGGAGAAGATGCTGAGATGGCGATTGCAGTGATGAGTGAAGAGTCTGATCTTTTCACTGGGAGTGACCAGGATGGACATGATCAGAAATTAGCAGACATCGGCATGGCTTAAAACTCAATCATCTTTGGATTGGGTTGTGTTACACTGTTATGACAAAATGATATTCTGTGCTATTGTCCAGCATTTTACTTGCAGTGAAACTCATATAGTCAGTGGAAAAACACTGAAACGTCCAGCCTGACCTTAAATTGTATGCACATACTCCCCATTTCTGAGTCTGAGTTTCTGATTCTCACAGTTTGCGATGGTACTCAAGGCACTGGCCCCCATTCCTATTCTTGTACGCACACACAAATGTATCCAGCGTGCTATAAATGTAACATGCACTAGCTTGCAGAGGTGGCACCAAGTCATTGCTTTGCAAGTCATGTAAGTAAGTCTCAAGTCTTTGCACTCAAGTCCGAGTCAAGTCCAAGTCCTTACGTTTCTGTTTTGAGTCCTTTTAAACAAAATAATAATATATTTACACAGATCACGTGGGATTTTGGAGAAAGCATCAAGTCTTGTCGAGTCAAAGGGCTCGAGTCCAAGTGAAGTCACGAGTCACTGATGGTAATGTCCAAGTCGAGGTGCAAGTCTCTTTACATTTTGTCAAGTCGAGTCCAAAGTCATCAAATTGATGACTCGAGTCTGACTCGAGTTCAAGTCATGTGACTCGAGTCCACACCTCTGCTAGCTTGTAAACGGGTGCTCTCGTACAGACGTAGTGCTTGTGTTGCTCTCTGTAAGACCTGCGCCCCGGAGCTTCATTAAAGCTTCGTTAATGTCATTAAAACGAACAACGTTATTCATGTTTCTGTTTTATTCTTTATTCCAAGGTGAGTGTTGACAATTTGCTAAAACAGCACTTCCTGTTCATCCGTAAATTATAATTTCTATTCTCCATTACTTAAAGGCAAAAAACTGTGATTACTGTTGCCGTTAAGTAGTGGCTCATGGCATGGAAACTATCAATGAACAATGTTTTTTTTGTTAGATCCACACAAGCGGGAACTCACCACTTGCAGAAGGGAGAGGTACCCGATTCCCACGTTGTCAAAGTTGACCTTCACTTTCGTCCAGTAGAA